TATAATTCAGTTTTGAAACATGGATACAAATACTCATTTACAATATATTTCAACTTTCTGCCTTAAACTGCAGAGAACTTTTTGTGCTGTCCAAACTGGGCAGAAATGAGGGTTTCTGCCTGTCCTCCTTCTAGTGCAAAATCTAATCTTTTAAATGCACCCTTTCTCATCAAGGGCTTCACATCTTCAAATAAGCTAAGATGGGCACTAGCAAACACAGTGGCCAAGAGCAGCTCCATTTCCAGCCATGCAAAGATGGAGCTTCAAGAATTTGCTCTGCAGCTACTAGAAAAAAGGAAAGCTAGTTATGCTAATAAAATCAGTTAGTGAAGGACGCTATAATCCCATTGTTTCCAAATGATCCTCAACACTTGTAAATATGTATATTATGAGACAGCCCCTCCCCACAAAGTCTTCTAAGTAGGTCATCAGAAAAGCCCTCCAGTCTGTCTTTGGATCGTTTACCAGAGAGGCGCTAATGCTTGCTCCTTCCCCTGCCCTTAACAATTTTGGTATCTTAGCAGATACAATACAATCTTTGGTTATATAATGTAATGCTTTCATCTCCTTTTCTACTTAAAAAAAAATACTCTCAAAGATTTTCAAAGCGATAAGTGGTGAGAACAATCCTGTCTGTAAAGGCAGCCAGGAAAGAAGCTTCTTAGTCTAAGACACTTTAGATGCTAAATGGTTTCTTTTGACTTTCAGTTGGGGATTTGATTGGCAAGGTCAGTTGGGGATTTGATTGGGAAGGTTAGCATTCATGGTTCTCAAGTGTGAGAACCATGCTTTTGGCTCAATGACCTCTTACCCTGGAAATTAATATAGAAGAATTATAGTCAGACTCTTGTTATCCAAGGCCATGCTAGGGTCATGCAGGGATATTAAGCCAGTTGTCTTTAGAAAACCTTCTGAAGTGTGATGTGGGCATAGGTCTTGGGGGGCCATAAGGGGTGGCTTGGGCCTTTGTGCCCTGGCAAATTTAGCAGAAAGAAGGGGGCAAGGCCACGTCTGTACTAAATGAAACAAACAGAAGCTGCTTGAAGCTTAAAGTCAGGTAATTTGTGGAGAATCAGGTCATTATGCAGATGGTGGGCATACGTTTTTCTTAAAGTGTGTTGACTATATCTTGTTATAGATACCTATATGTATTTAGACATCGAGTGGACAGAGAAGGATGCTAACATCAGTACATTTCGCAACCTGGACAATTAACTACACAAAGAACAGAGTGAAGCTTTTTTTCCTCCTTTTTTTCTTTTCTAGTGCCAGTGAGCATACATAAAAATATACATATTACTGATTTTCTGTTTTTCAAAGATATACGACAGAATCCTTCAAAAAAAATCCCTTTCTCAGAGTAAGGTAATTTTAAAAAATAACGAACTTTCCAAGAACAATAATATTGCCTGTGGCACAGGAAATCTATGGAACAAAGAAGCCAACTCCCATGTCAGCTCAGATTTGACAGCGATACATGACTCTTTTTTTTTTTTTTAAATCACAGAGTTCGTGACTTTGGCAGCTAGCTGCTGCCCAGCCCAGATGGGCCTTCTCCATGGTGCTCCTCTTTTTCTCATCCTCACATTCCATTCTTATCAAGCACTCTAAACCTCTGTGGAGATGATCACCTTGACTTGTCCAGTGAGTGATCCTCATCTTCCATCTTACCAGATGAGTGGAGCAGTGGCCAGTTGTTCAGTGAACCAGCAGTACTCACTCTCCTGAGTAGAGTGCTTGCAAGATGAGACTTCTGCCAGTCATACTAGCTGGAACATTGATGGCAAAAACAACAACAACAACAACAAAAAAAAAAACCAAAAAGAAATGAAACAGAAAATTCAAAAACCAAAACTCAATGTCTTCTTTGTCTGTGTGGGAGTGCACAGCCTCGCTATGACTCCATTGCTCACTCAAATCGCTGTGCAGAAACAGCAGGCATGAGGCCTTGTGTGGGCTGTTTTCTCTAGTTTCATCACTTGGAAATTTGGAGTTATCTAGTTGGTGTTGCTTTAATTGCACTGCTGTGTCACTGATTTTTGGCTTTTGCAAGTAAAAAGCAAAAACAAAAACATATATTTAAAAAGACAAGAGTCATGATCTGGAACTCTCTAAGATGAAAAACTTCATTGAGAAGTGGAATTAAGAACCTCTAGTATTTACAAATATTAAAATGCTATAACAAAACCCATATACCACTGAAGATGGAAATTGCTTCAAAATAGATGTAAAGAAACTATTAAAATGTAACCTAGTTTAACAGAAAAGAGTGGTGATTTTCTTCTGTTTAAAATACAGCTAAAAGAGATCCTGTACATAAGCCATATAGTGTCATCACAAAGCAAATCAGAATCTGTCTATCCTAGCTCAAAAAAGGGAACCAGTCAGCTTCAGCTTTAGTCCAGCAGGGTCAGACTGTCTTATCACCGATCTTACATTCTCCGTCCCTTGTTATTTAAAGAAGTTGTTTTGCAAGTTTGTTATGCTATTAATATCAACACAGAAATCAGGGAAGGAAGCTCATGTGTATCATATTGTGTCACTCAGACACTATCTTCTCAATCAACTTAATATACCAACTATCATGGGCAGCTGGTGGGCTGGCCCTTGATTTCTTAAGCTCAGCAGTAAAGTGAAGAGCTGAGCGAGGAGGAATTGTAAAAACGCACGAGTAGGTGGGAATTCCTCCTGCACTCGAGATTGAGGAGCAGAGTCCACAGAAAAAGTAAGGTGCCAAAGGACTACATGAAACCAGTGACCCAGGGCATGCCCTGAGTTTGTGGGTGTAGTCTGTTTATTGCCACACCAGACAGATCTGTCCAATGGGAGTCACAGTTCTAGAGAATGTCTCAGTGGTCCTGCACCCTCTGGCTGAGAGGCAACCACTCTGGTGGAGAATCTGAGTGACCTTGGCCAAGGTCAACCAAGCAACTTCAATAGAGGAGGATGAGCAAACTGGTGCCCACCTAGCCAGGTGGTGTTCATTTGACTTTAGCCTTGGCCTCGGAAGTCTTTGGCAGTCAGCATTCCCTTCTGGCCTCCTCTCTTCTTCCCGTGTGAGTATATCAGAGAGTAAGTATGATGGATGAAAAGGAGAGCATTTTATGCTCTCTAGTTCTACTGTCTTCATTTACCCAGCCTGGTTACTTAGTTTTCTCCTCCACCATGGTCTGAGTAGCCTCTTTCATCACTCTGAGGAGGAAATTGATATTTCTCCACTTGATAGGAGTATGTTGTCTCTGGAGGACAAGGGCAAGCTGCCCAGTTTGTCTGGTCCCTTTGATGATTTCTCTCAAATTTGTCTAAGGGCTCCAGAAATCTGACTGTTGATGAGAGACATTGACTGAGATGTCTTTGATACTTGTTGGCATCTAAACAAAGATGCCGTGGCTCTTGGTCTGCTAGGCTTCATGGTGGTGATGGAAGGGAGACCTTAGCAGTGTCTACAAATATGTCCAAAGAAGTGAGCAAGCTTTACCACCATAGCTTAAATGCATTAGAGTGAAGTTCAGTTCCACTGTACACTGAAGAACTGTGGAGTGAGAAGGTGGCTGCACGGAGTCTATAGGTCCTTTATAAGTGGAGGAGACGGTGGTTGCATTAAGGGATCAACCATTTCCTGTCCCTAGAGGACTCCCTTTCCTCTGACTCCAGTCCTCAAACTTCTCTATGGCTCCCACATAGAAATGCAGGAGCAGAAGGAGATGGAGCACGAGCAAGGAACTCAGGACCACGAGGGGTGCACCCACACACTAAGACAATGGGGATGTTCTATTGGGATCTCACCAAGGCCAGCTGGCCTAGGTCTGAAAAAGCATGGGATAAATCCGGACTAGCTGAACATAGCGGACAATGAGGAATACTGAGAATTCAAGAACAATTGCAGTGGGTTTTTGATCCTACTGCACGTACTGGCTTTGTGGGAGCCTAGGCAGTTTGAATGCTCACCTTACGAGACCTGGATAGAGGTGGGCAGTCCTTGGGCTTCCCACAGGTCAGGGAACCCTGATTGCTCTTCGAGCAGATGAGGGGGGGGACTTGATCGGGGGAGGGGGAGGGAAATGGGAAGCGGTTGTGGGGACGAGGCAGAAATCCTTAATAAATAAATAAATTAAAAAAAAAAAAAGAAATGTGGCCTTAGATCTGAATGGAGCCTTCCAAAGAGTCAGATTTCTCTGCTTTCTTCTCACTGACCTAACTTCAGTGGAAGTGGCCAAAGTTTTGGCTAAAGAGAACATTTAGTTCAAAGCTCTAAGAAAAACCTATTGAAAGTCAGTTGAGGGCGGAAGCAGAGGTTAAGAGAGAAAAGACTTTGAAGGAGGAGGTATTCGCATGCAGACAAATTTTAGACACGAAGCACATTTTGGTACAATGAACTGAACTGCAACTGAGCACTCTAGCACTCAGGGACAAAGGCTCTGGGGAAGTAATGGTTATCCATGCACTCTCCTTGTCCTATTTTCTCTCTATCCTACCAGTAAGCTTTGGGGTCATCCTACTCTTTGATGCCGACAGCCATTAGCAACAACTGAAGTTGCCACAGAGAGACGGGATGAACAAAGAGAGCGACTCCTCATGTACCTGGGATTTTTACTTTCTTCTAGTTACTTGTTGGTTTCTTTGAGAATCTTATGTGTTTATTTATTTATTGTGAAGAAATAACCCTAGCATGCTGTTTTGGCTTGTTATTTTCTATGTCTGTTCCTTCCCCAGATACTTAGAGCTCTCTGAACTTGACGTGGCATAAGGCGAGTAAACATTTGTGTGGTTGGCACACAGCACAGGGCTGGAAACAAGCACAATTGACACTGGGCCACACAAGGGTCACCACAAAGTCAAAGAAATACAACACAACTCAAAACACCAGCAGAAGCCACAACAGGCAGCAGATTTTACATGTGCCATGGGAGAGTGAGAGAGGGGGAGAAGAAGGAAAGGAAAGAAGGAAAGCCCAGGAAATATCACCGAGGAGCATTCATGACAGACAGTACATCAGCAGAGGAATTTCCCCCAAGGCACTGCAGGGAAGTAGCGCAGAAGACATCTGAAAAAAAGGGAACAAGGTGCATTTGACTACGAAGGTTTCCAAATCTTCACTGTGCGTGGAAATAGATGGGCTTGACTTTCCCAGAAAGGATCTTGGGCACTTGCACAGAGATGATCTCTGCCATCATTTCAGGAAAGTCCACGCTCACCATGTGGGACTTGATTAGCAGGTCAAAAGTGAACTGATGCAGCTTTCTTGCAATCTGTAGGGAGAGTAAGAGACAGAACAAACATGGTCAATAAAAACTTGGCTCCTGCCCAGCTCTCCTCCCACCCTGAATGCCAGTACCTTTAGCATTTTGTCCCAAGGCCTAGCCTTGATCCTGTTCAGTGAGTGTGTGTGTATGTATGTGTGTGTGCATGTGCGCACATTCATGTATGTGTATCTACCCATTTGTGTGTTTGAAAAATGATCTCCAGGGCTCCTACAAATCATTCAGACCATTTCAAGTCCTCTGACTTAGGACTGAGTGTTCCTCATTTCCTATCCTCCATTACACATACACACACACACACACACACACACACACACCCCACATGTTCTCTCTCTCCCTCCCTCTCTCTCTCTCACACACACACACAGAGATATACACACACACAAACACACAGTTTCAATCTTTTTCTGTCTTTCTACCTTCCTCCTTCCCACTACCTCTCTCTCCTTCTTCCTTCTACACACACACGCACACGCACACACACACACACAAACACACACACACATACACACAACTCCCATGTACATGACTCAAGGAAAGGAGGAAAGAAAAATATTTATGCCTGTTTTGTCTGCCTGGAAAATTCATCTGCCTTAAGCTTCTTCCCTAAGACCCAGCTTCTCAGTACTCTACTCCTCCACCCCTTTCACAACATCCAGCTAGGACATTGTGGCCTGTGTTTCTTTCTTCTCCATTGCATTTTCTTCTTGGACCATACTCAAAGCCAGATGCAAATGGAAGCACCTCCCAACAGGTGGTGCCAGACCCTAGAGGAACCCATTGTCACTGCGCTCTATCAGGCTGCTCTCCCTGATAAAGCACCCTCTGGAGTTTGCTTACAGGCTGCACGGAATCCAGGAGCTTGGTGAGCTGGTAGAAGCGCCTTGAGCAGGATGTGGGATTTTTTCTTTTGCAGGCAATGATACGATCGAGTTCCTTGATGTAGTTCATTCGTAGTTCATCAAAGAATTTTTGATTTTTCAGCCCATCCACTGGAACTGATGTGGGATGAAGACAGAATGGGGAGGGGAAGCATGCCCATGAAGGAGCATTAGACAAAGCACCAAGTTTTCGGACCACAAACTTGATCTTCCACCCCCACACCAAGGGAAGCATCTATTTGGCTTTCTATCAGTTGAAGTCTGTGTGCCTGGGGCCTTCAAAGTAAATGATTTTCTGTACTTAACACGGAGGAGTTAGATAAAATAGACTGAACTCTTTTTTTGACTAGTTTGTACATGCACCCATTTCTCAGGCCCCAAACCTTTTTGTTCTCCATCCAGCTGTGATTTAGACACTCAAGGAACCTGGCTTATCAAATACCAAATGCCTCCATTCTTCCCCATTATACTCTGCTTAGAGGAGACATTCTTCCTTGACTGTCAAGCAAGCCTGTTTCCATTGTTTCCATCCGCCTCCTTTGGTTGCTAAAGAGGAAATATCCTCTAGGAGGTGATCCCTCCTACTCTACTCCTCTGCAAGGAATGCAAGGTGGCTCAAGCCTGTTCCTACAGTAGAGACTACAGGCTATCTCAGAGGCCTGTTACAACTTCTTTAAAGGCCTTATTTCAGTGACGGAATGAGAATAGTGAATCTGGTAGAGGCTGAATTCTACCAATGAAACTGATCTCTCCACACGAAATTGGTCTTTTAAGGAGAAAGGATGCTGCAAGGATGTGGAGGGTGGAGGGAGGGAGAGAGAAGGGGAATAAATGGAAAGCGTAGGTCCCCTGGTGCCTCTGTGCTCCCACTGGCATCCTCTATAGACCCAAGTACTTACTAATGCTGAAGAGTAGCAGGGCTTTCATGCACAGGAATTCCTGGGGGGTTATCTGGAGCCATCCGAATTCTTGAGACAGTTGCCTCATGCGCACACACTGGCTGTACATCCGAGACTTGTGCATGCGGTACCTAAGCAATAGACAGACGTATAGATGAAAAAGAGAAACGAGGGGACACATCCAACCAGCATTCAAGGAATGCTCCTTGGAGGCCCACTCTCCTGCAATTCTCCAAGAAAAGCTGGCTTATTTGTCTTGCGAGGACTTCAGTGACAAGGGATTGTCCTGTTCTCCCCGTCCCCCAAACTTCTGATGCCCAGATAAAGGCTCATCTTCTCTGGTCAGGATGTGGTTTAGCACATGGAATTTCCAGGCCTGCATTTCCTTTCTGTTTCCTGAGTCAGGGACAGGAAAACATGACAAAATGAACACAATGGGGCAGGGACATGGTCTCCCTGACTACAGTGTTAGGATCTCAACTACAGGCAGAGCCAGAACCTGCCCACTTCAGGACTTCTCAGAGGGACTCCCAGGCAATCTACTCTGTGTGAGAATGCCAGGGTTTGCAAGGAGCCACAGGTGTTTATCCTGTCAACACCCCTGCATGCCATTTCCTGCAATAGAAATGGAATCATTTCTTTAATAAAAACATCTAGCAATAGACATAAATTGCACATTGTCCTTTTACAATGAGTTCCAGTGCTTCTAAATGTGCTAGGGGTGTTTTGCAATGTCTAGTCTCTAAGTCCTCTGCAGAGGGGAGCCCACTCCCGCAAAGACTGGCTGTTCCTTACTACGGTTTGGGAGTTGTAAACATCTGTGAGCTGCTTTCTTATAGTGAGTTGTGAACAGATTATCACATTATCACCTATAAATTATATGGGGAAGAGGCCAAGACTCAGAAAACTTCAGGGTGGAGGCAACCTCTCTGTTCCATGTCTGGTTATGGCAAGTTAAGTCATGCTATCTCCAACTAGTAGGCCTTTAAGTTGAGAAATGTGTGTGTGTGTGTGTGTGTGTGTGTGTGTGTGTGTGTGTGTGTATGGGAGAGAGAGAGTGAGAGAGGGGGGATGCTCCTTTGTAGCTTATGAAGAAAGGAAGGGGAATTGACACCAACTTTAAGTGCCTAAGTGATGAGGACAAAGACCTCCCAGATGAACTATAAAGGCCATGTTTTGATATTCTAGTTCCCAAGTCACTAGCCTGGTGAAGGGGTGAGCAGGCTTATCATTGCCTGGGCAGAAAGGAGCTCTGTAGAGACCTTGGCTACCCTGGAGAAGGAGGGAAGGTAGCAGGTGGTGAATTATTCAATCCAGGCTGAAATCCAACTGGACAAGGGAAGTGTTTAGATGGTATCACAAGTCAATTGAGCAGAACAGTGCTGCTCTAAGCTCTTTTACCCTAGAGGACATTTGAGTAAGTCCTGCTTTCCCTGGAACCTGGCTGTGCTCCCGACTCCATTGTATTTGCACGCCTCTGTGGATGTCAACACTGCAGCGTTTTAAATCATAGCCAGGGCACAAAGGATTCCTAGAATATTGCTGTAGGCCCCTGAGACAGAAAAGATAGGGAATGGGTAGGAGAGAAGAGGAACAAGCAATGAGAAGAGTTCAAAGAGGAAATAAACAGGAAACAGGAAGAAAGAGTTGGGAGAGAATTAAAGGAAGGAAAGCAGAATGGCAGTAGGGGGTAAAAATAAGGGGTAGGGATGGATTTCCAAAAGAGAGCAGAAGTGGGCATTGCTAAAAGACAAGATAAAAGGAAAAGTGAAAATTGGGAAACACTAAACCCAGTGCCTGGCATGTGGTTAGCGCTTAGTTAACGCTGTGTAAGGAAGGTGCTGCAATGTTATCTATCATTCAATAATGAGAGATGTGTGACCTGGAGAACTGCAGCAATTCTCCCATGGTTACAGAGCTCGAATTTAAGTCCATTATCCTCATAACATGGGATTTCCACAAAGAAGGAAAGAACGATGAAAACTTTACTGAGAAAGGGTTTTGGCCTTCCATAGAGCAGCATATGGATTTTCTCAGCTTCAAGTCCCAGGCTCTGTCTCTCTGGGCTTCAGTTGCAAGCAATTATAGTTTTCAACTAGGGAGTACTGCATTCCCAGTGGACAGTAGAAATGTATGGAGTCTGTTTGGATCTCAAAATGACTGAAATCTTATTTATCAAGCAGGTACCAACCAGGGATATTAACATAATGCATTATGCAAAACTCCATAACATCTTGTACGTGAAAACATCCCAAAATGTCAACAGTATCTATGTTGCGAAGCCCTGGTCTAGATATTTGTAAAGATTCTGATGACTGTATTGCAACTGGTTCCTACAAATGGGAAAAAACCTTGTTTCAGGATTTTTGTGGCTTGATAGATCTAAGCCTGATACTTTTGGAAGCTCTGTAGTATCTTTTAATGAGATAAAAGACCTAGCTACAAAGCTGAGGTGGGATGCCATAGAGAAGGAAATGGCTATTTAGAAATTCATCACTATGCTGACTCCCAAAGGTCTCAGGGCTTTGAGGAAGGTAGAGCCAGTGCTTGAGTTTATTCAATCAAGAGCAGTAATGGGTATGAGGCTTTACAACATCTGTCCCAGAAGATGGCATCAAAGGTAACTCTTGGAAGGTCTGGAAATGAAAGTCCTGGTGGCTATTCTTAGGTTCTGACTACCGGGCTTGGCTAGGTTGAAAGAGAGCAGCTGGGGACACTTACTCTGCCTCCCACAACACTGCTGTGTTTTAAGGAACCAGAAGCCTGTGGATTTTATTTAAAGGTCTGAAGGATGAGGAAGCTTAATTCCTTCCTCTACTGAAGGGATTCTCTGTAATGAAACGAGCTCAAGGTTCTTGGGAAACTTATTCCGTTCAGCTCCATTCATAGTGCCACGGCAAACCCTCACATAGTGGATGTAGAGAACACTAGCGCTATCAAAACCTCACATAGCGGATGTAGAGAACACTAGCGCTATCAGAACCTCAGATAGCGGATGTAGAGAACACTAGCGCTATCAGAACCTCACATAGCGGATGTAGAGAACACTAGCGCTATCAGAACCTCAGATAGCAGATGTAGAGAACACTAGCGCTATCAAAACCTCAGATAGCGGATGTAGAGAACACTAGCGCTATCAGAACCTCAGATAGCGGATGTAGAGAACACTAGCGCTATCAAAAGGGGAAAGGGCATGAAAATGGGATTGCTAGTCTGTTCCCTTCCTTTTCTTCTTGTTCCCTTTCCCTGTCCTTTTCCCACCCTTTCTGTTCTGTTCACTTTTCTTTGTGTGATGTTATTTGCAGCCTAGGCTGGCAGCTCGCTTTGAATATCCTACACAAGTAAATTTAACCTTGAACTCCTGATCCTCCTGTCTCAGTCGTTTAAATGCTAGGATTCTTTGAGCTACCATTCTTGGAGTAAAGATTTTAATTTCTTTTCAACCATGGACCGTGGTTAAGGGGTCTTGTCTAAAGATCAAGACATGGATAATAGCAGCACTAAGACTTTAGCAGAGAATATGATTCTAAAAATCTAAGCTTTTGGTCAAATTCATGAAAGATAAATATAGCTGGTAGGAGATATAAATTCAATCGATTTAAGTAAAGGGAAATAGCTGGGTCATTTTATTTTAGTACATATAACCTCCCACATCCCAAAAGACATGACTATCTATGAAAACATATCAGGTTATCATGAGAACTCAGCGAGATGGGCTTTTTTTTTTTTTTTTTTTTTTTGGAAGTACTGAGCATAGTCTTAACATGAAAGCAATTGTTGAGCAAATAGTTACTGCCAGAAGTCCTCAGTGGTAGCAGAGGGACACAAAACTGGTCACAGGGGTACTTACTCATTGAAAACCAGGTCAGGTGCAAAGTAGAGCATCCTGGAGTTGACGTTAGTGAAGGACCGCCAACCCATGGCAAATACCATCAGTCCCATCCAGGAATATTGAATGACTGCCATCTGGTCATCGACATGCAAGTTGCGGAATCCTGGAGAAGAATGGGCAGAGGGAAATTCAGATTGCCATTGGTAGGCTGAATTACCTCTGGGCCTCTGCTTTGCTGAGAATTTGGCCCCCGCACAGCTACTGAGGTGCCCTAAAGGACAACACTGATGGCTCTTTCACTGAGGGCTTCCAATGAGATCATGATACTATCAGAAACGGTACAAATATTTGGAAGAGACTCATAATCTCACACTACTTAAAGTGAGTTGACTCTTTTTCTGAACCCTCTACTTCTATTACTCATTTCATCTTCACATGGAATAGTGTGTGTGTTTTTTATTAGCCCCACTCTGTGCATCTGTATAAACGAGTTACAGAGAAGCTCGGGAATTTGTTCAAAGTCACAGAGCTGTATCTAGCAGACTGGTTTCCCACGCCCACATTCTTGATCATTACACCTCTGGTAAGATTCAGTTTAATTGTCAGTTCTCCTACGTGGACAGTTCTCACTTTTCAAAGCTGTCCTCTGGTTGCCATCTGATTTCAGCCATGTCACAACTGGGAGGGGGATTCTCATACATATCTGCAAATTATGGAATGTGTTTAATGGGTATGGCTTTCTCTACACTCTCCTTAGACTATTTTCCACCATGAATCTCTTTCTGCCCCACACTTTTTTTCCTTTTGTTCCACCCACTTAATTCCGATTCTCCTAGTTTTATATCCTTGTGTTAGACATGAATAGGCTCTGTATGACCTGCACTACTAGACTAATTTTTTGTTACTTGCCTTCTGATGATTAGGTCTCACCTGTAATGATATTTCATTTGTATTTTAATAAGTAAAGCTTGCCTGAAGATCTGCCCTGGTTAGCCTGAGAGACCAGGCCATAGTGACACACACCTTTAATCCCAGTAGCCACACTAGTTAGCCGTAGAAACTAGAAAGTAATGGTGCACACCTTTAATCCCAGCCCTAGAGAAGAATATAAGATGGGAGGAGACAGCTCTCAGTCTGTCTCATTCTGAAGATTTCTGGAGTCAGGATCATTATTTTGGACTGAGGTAGAAGTAAGAGCCAGTGACTGGCTATTTTGCTTTTCTGAGCTCCAGGTTGAGCCCCAGTATCTGTCTCTGAGTTGTTATTAATTGTGATACATTCACTTCTTCTTTAAAATTTACAATTTTTGAATGCACTGTGCTTTTTCAGGTCTCTCTGCCTAGGCAGATGTCTTTGCTTAGGATGGAACACTCATATACCCTTCAAGTGTTTTTCCAAAATTCCTTCCTCTGTGAAGCATTTTCCAACTTCTCCAAGAGCATGGACCAACAATTATTATTTTACCCTTTCAAGGAACCTGGAGCTTTAGCCAATTAAAGAACTCAGTTCACAATATCATGATTTAAAAATGGACACATCTTCTTCCTTTATAATACTTCAGGCTTAGCTTCTTATTCATCATTAATACAGAGCATAGCTTAAGTAGTTAACTGGGTGCTGGAAAAACATTAATCAGACATATGAGGTATGGATCCTCAATATTTTTCATGCAATTTTTATAGAATGGGTATTCGATTTCCTCCAAATGGCCTTCCTTAAGTGCAGGAAACTGCCTCCCAACTGTTACATCTGTACTAATACATAGGTAGAACATATAGGGCAAGCTTCCCAAAACTTTTCAATTCTTTCCATGATTAAAAATTTAAAAGTGTTACCTCACAGCTCAACCATACTAGTAGTACCTCTATTTTTCTCCTACAAATTCAAAATTATCATTAAGAATATTCATTTGAATTTAGAGCAAGCATCTGGGAATTGATTTTATTGGATTCTAATGACCCCAGATGACAGACAATGTGACACTTATTTTTACCAACAACATGGAACCTAAAAATGAGGGCAGTTATGTGACTTGCCCATGGTCGTGCAGTCAGTATGGCTGAACTGGAATTGGAATTCAGGAATGTGAGTTCTTTGTTCCACTCTTTCTTTTAATCATTAGCTGATGGTCATAGCTCAGAGATTATGCAGGTCATCTGCCTTTCTTCGCCACAGGCTCAAGTGTGAGGTCCTCACTATCAGAATGCTCTCTGTTCACTCACCTACCCACTCTACCATTCCATTTTCATTTTGTCTTAGATCTCAAGTCTCCCAGTTGTATGCTATTCTAAAATCCATCATAGCACCACACTTGGCTGCCATGTTAGCGCCCAGGCCAGTGTTTCTCTCTTCATTGTATTGACAATGTACAGACTGGCTGGAACCTCACATGACAGAGCATTTCTCTCCTAGAACCCTTCTATAGTATAGAATCCCTGGCTCTGATGCTTCCCCATAGAAGACAAGAGGCCAGGTAAGTCAAGGTTAAGAGGCAACAGTTAAGGTTCACATGGGGAACAAGTCCTGAGAGTTTGAATGCTGAATGTCTGTGGTGTGATGCAGTAGGAAGGAAAAACAAAACACTGGTTGGTAAGCTTTGATCTTCTGATGTGAATGTGAATGTCAATCTGAAGGTATGTGGAAGGGGAAGTATTAAACTGTGTAGGTATCAAAGAAACTATACAGATGCTCTCCCCCTAATTCTTCAACAGCAGAGAACTAACAAAAAGGTGAAAGGGGAACATTTCAGTTAGGTTGCAATACTAAGAGTACTTTGAGCCACTTATCACTCAGACATAATACCTTTGCATATATGAACAATGTAGAACACCAATTTTCCATTATAGCTGCATTCAGTTTGCAATACCTGACTGTTTTAAATGCATAGATTTTGAAGTAGCCTGTTCAGACTACATGGAAAATATGGGAAGACAGAAGAAACTGCAGTTTCAGGTAACTGTTAGGCTGTTCTGGTGAAATACAAGGATTTATGCTAAGGTTTTGAGACCCAACCAATAAGGAGTGGATGATGTTTCCTTGTTTTCTCTTTAGACAGTTCAAACCTGAGGTCAACATCAAAAGAAGACTGGCGGCAAGTTAGATTGAGCTTAATGCAATTTATAGTGCTAGCACTCAATCATCATAATTATAAGCTATCATCTAGAGAGTAGGTACTGTGTTTCAGCTCCTGTACTCTTTATACATAAACTCCATGTTGATGACAGTTCTCAAAGTGTCCTACCATCTCGAAAACTGACAAAAGCGCGGCACAAATACCTGTGATTTTACTCAAGATTATATATCAAGCCATAGCTAGGATTTCAATCCAGGTCTATCTGATTCTAAATATGCTGTGTATATACAATTGATTCAAGTGTCTCCAATTTTTAATTACAATTATTAGTGTGCCAGGCACCTTATGAGAAATGTTCAGGGTGTTATCATTATCACACAAAATGTTCAACAAATTTCATCTGACCAGGTTCTTGTATGGGATAGCAACTCAAATATTGAAAGTGCAAATTACTTGAACTAGTAGGTGATTATAAACAATTTGAATAGTCATTCTTATGAATGCAGTAATCAGCTTCTTTTAGGAGCTATTCTTCTAAATGATTCAGTGTCAGAGTTCATTTATTCCGGAAAGAAAGACAAACTGATTTTGGCTTGAAGATTTGTTAATGGAGAGGAAAGTTTCCCATGCTGAGGGTTGAGTCATGAACAGCTCGTATTTCCAGGTAAAAGAAATTCTGCCATGGTCATTTGAGCTAGGTTATTTCTATGGCCATCAAATTAGAAATCAAAGTCTGAGATCAAGCTCTGGCTCCATTGTTAAGTAACTAGTGTAATAATTCAGTTAATTTCTTAGAGCTGTGGTATGTGGGAGAGAATAACAGGATCATTTTTGAGACTCAAATATAGGGAAAGCTTGTGAATCCAATAAAATGAGACATGTTAAATATTTGGAAATTGAGAATCTCCATTAAAAATGGCATCAAGACATCCAGCTGGATAAATGATAATAATGTCTTTTTTCTTGTTTGTATTCTTGCTCCCGGTGTGAACTCTCAAGTTTTGGCACAGTGCATATCCATCCACAGTCCTTGGGCTTCCTGACCAGTAATCTCATTGGCTACTTAAACTCTATTTTCTGATATGAGAAAGTAGTAGGGACGTTTTCGAAGCTGTTACTGGGGCCTTGTGAGTTACAAATACAAAATGAGTTCTTGACAGCCAAAATGAAAACTTTTCAAAAATAGAAAACCCATCACATGATTCAAGTGGCCTTCCAGGGGGTTTCAAGCCCTCAATGTAAAGCCAAGAATGACAGAAACAGAGAGCCATTATACACAATAGCTAGAGTTCATAGCTTGGAGGTAGTTTGGAATTAGGGGGCCCTGGGCTCAAGTTATACTAATTTGTTTTATGTATGTACACATGTATTTTTGTCTTTAGCTATAAGATAATCATAACTCTTGTCAGAATTTAATTCTGTGTAAAACAGAGGAACAGGTGACTACTTCATAGGGCATTCTTATGGTATACCGATTAGACAGTTCCTCTTTTTTCACTATATTCAATAGCAGCTTTCATTAAAAGGTGAGTTAATCTTTGACTTCAGAGGAAGAGACTCGGTTGTTGCAATTTCAAAAGAATCTGTGAATCATTTCATCTCAGGATTGGGAGAATCTTTAAAGAGCATATGCTTCATTGCCTGTCAAAATGAATTTCCAACAGCTACAAGACTGTGTGCCAGTGACTAGGAGCTTATGGCTTGGTTGGAAGTAGTACTGAGGGAGATGATGTGGGGAGGTGGTAAAGATGGGCAGAAATTCTGGCTTAAATGAATTGAGTGGATCACTTGTATCTGTGCAAAATGCTTTTTAAGCAAGAAGCAATTTGTTTACTAAAGGAATGTTTGTGAGTCCATAGTTAGAAGCCACCTAAAGCTTCCCTAATCTATTATAGTTAAAAAATAAGGTGTGTTGAAATAACAAATGCTCTAGTAAGGAAGTGAGTTCCCATTTCTTACTGAAGGTATCTTAGAGAAGGAAGATAATCACTTGGTAATTCTTTCACCTTGACCTAACTTTTCTTCCCATTATGATTTCTAAAGTACTGTAAAAAACACTAAGTGTTCCTTGAAGTTTAAAAGCTAACAGTATTAGAATTATGCTGGCCTTCCCTGTCACCTGGCAGGATGAAGCCAGACAATAGCCTGTACTTTTAAGAGATAAGCTCTGCCCACTCTCAATCTCTCTCTCCCCCCTCAGGCAAGCTCCTCTCTGTTGTCCTCTCTCTTCTGAAGAGGCAGCTCTCTGTTTCTCTCCCCCTCTTCTCTCTCCTCTAGACCTCTCCCTTCCCTCTCTCTGTCTCTGTATCTCTCCCCCCCCCCCATGAATACCCTGTTCCTAAAGAAAACTCCATACTCCCCAGCTCTGTTTGCATGGCATATTCTGTTTCTTGCCCACATTCCTCAAGTGTCAGGAGACCCAGAAAAGTCCCTCTCCCACTGTATTTTAAAATCAGGTTAGTCCAGAATGCTCTTGATGTGTACAGAGAAAAAAACAGAGCCAGAAGGGTAAAGGATCACAAATGGGTTTTGCGCAGGGATAAGAACCCATGATTTCTGATGTTCAACTTTCTTTCTACCATACCATATAAAAATTCCTGTAGGATAACTGAGACTTAAAACTACCTCTGGAATGAACTTACATGTTTCCACATAGAAGAGCACCTTGAGGTTTATGTAGCTATCGCTATAAAATATTTGATTTGGGGTTAAATGACAAAGTTTGATTATTGTGTATCAGTGGAGTCATAGGGGACATGGGTATGGTATCTTTCCTCTTGCTTTCTCAGTCTCAATTTCTTCAATATTTAAGGTGAGACCTTTTCTATGACAACCATTTATCTACAGTGTGGCGTTGAGTACTGTCTGAGGTAACGAGTATCTGGCCCAATGAATCATTCAATAAATATAATATCCCTCATCCCACATGCTCATTTTCCTTTTTCTTACCAGGCAAGGCCTTGGCCCACTTGACCACATGCACAAGCTGTCTCTCGCCCAGCTCGTTGAGGCTAGTTAACAAGGCAGCAAAAGAATCAGGCTTGTTGTTGTCGTGTCCAGCACACACCACTCCTGGTTCAATAGCTTCCAGGACATTAAGAAAGATAGGCTGACATTCATAGCCTTCAACATGTGATACTGTCAACTTCTGGCATGGGTCCTCAGTGGGGCTACCAGCATTGGAGTTTTCTCCTTCCTCCTGTAGTTTTAGATTTCCAAGTTTTTTCAGCTTACGAGCTATTGAGGAGTAAAAGAAATTTGAATTCATTATTAGTGACCAAAAATACACACTATAGTTACCCTGTTAGGAAAAGTGATTGAGCAAAAACAAAATCTTTCTCTCTGGTTGTAGAGTCTAAGTTTCTTACAGACAAGTGATTATTCAAAAATGGTTGAATGAATGAGCTGTCCTCCATCCCTGCTGAGCCCCAAAGTATCATACATTGTTTTCTCCCAAGTATAGCCTTCAATTATCTCTGCCAGAGCGCAGATGTCAGTATTTATACCTGGGACATTCAGTTGATTCATTTATAAAAAATCACCTGTGGCTGATTTCTTTATTTATCTATTCTCCACACTTCATTGACAAATAATAGTTTTTTAGGTAACATAAAGAGCATAGGCCCTGATCCAGTCTTGTAGAAAAGAAATAAACACCCACAAAAAAGTTTAGAAAGCGCCAGAATAGTAAAAACTCCAACAGAGGCAGCATGAAGAGGGAAAAAAAGTCTTTCTGCATGGTGAGGTTAGGAAATACTTTACCTCAAAGGTGGCATTTCACCTGGAGCTTAAATACTGATAAGAATTTTACCAGGCAGAAATGAGTAGAAAGGGCATAAAGAAAGGAGAGAAACTAAGAATCAGTGTGCCTATAGTTTATATTGCATATATAAAAAAAACAGGCTATCTACAGTGCTATAAAGAAGCTGTGGCCTGTTTTTAGTGGATGATGTGTATTATATTAAAGAAGTATAGGGTTTGTCCTACAGGTAATAAGCAAATAATGAATGCTGTAACCAAAACAACAATATAAATGTGTCTATATTTGACATTAAGAAGTTCTGGCTTACAGATTATAGGCAAATTCTGAATGTTGTAAACAAGAGTTATACAAATGTATCTATGTTAGAAAAAGTGACCAAAAGACCTGTTGAACGAAGATCTGGATTAACGTGGGTTCTAAATGGGTAACAAAAAGTATACCAGTTTGGAAACCAGGTCCTTTTCCTCTGTTGATTCTTTTCATCACTGAGAATTGAACATAGTTCATGCTTAATGTATAGTCATCAATTCCCCAATATCCTAAGTCCTCTTTTTTACTTTGAGAATAGCATTTAACAAAGCTAATCAGGCTTGCTTTGAATTTACTCTGTAAGCTGGGCAGGCCTTGGATTTGTGATTCTTCCATCTCAGCTTCCCAGGAGCTGGAAGTTCAGGTCATTGCTACCAGGTTTAGTTCACACACATATATATTGGGACTTAGGGTTCTCTGAGGACAAAAAGATTGCCACACATTCATGGCATTGTAGAAATTCAGAGACTAGATTTACAGCAGTTGAGAATTCCCATATCAAGTGAGAACGACATTTAGAAACAGTTTGATAATCCTCTGTATCTTCAGACTACCAAATCACCCCACCTTGGGAACTATGAGCAGGATTTTTGTTTCCCACCACACACTATAAAGTGGCTCAGATGTTTTCTGAATGATATTCATAGTTGATTATGTACCATAACACATACTGATTTTCTTCTTTAGCGGGGCATAAAATAGAGGGCAAAATGTTAGAGCCTGTAATAGTATTAAATAAATAATGTAATGTCCATGACTCTATTATCCATCTATAAAAAAAGGAAATCATACTAGCAGGCAGCTGTTAGAATGCAAAATAGAACATTCTTTAAAACAACCACAGTAATTCCAAATTCAGTTTAAGAACCATTTTCCTGACATATCCACACACATATGCATATGTGTGAACATTTTTGCATACAATGCCTGCACGCGCATGTGCGTGCACACATACACACACACAAACACACAAACACACAGACACACTTACTTTAAACGTCCTCTAGCAATCCAATGGTTATTTTTTTCTATTTTCCCTAGCACTTATATTGATAAGTATAAAGAATTGAAAAGGTCATAACTCTGAGATCTATCACAAGCAGATGCACTGGGAGTAGATCATAAACTGTATTTTTATCTAATCCTTTAAAAATAACAAACAAACAAACAAATAAAGACAAAACAAAGCGAAGCTGATATTCAATACAGTGCGCAAATGTGGTAAAACCTACTATATATCTGCTTCTGGCACCAGAGAAATGACATATCTAGAACAGACTTTAAGCACTAATTAGAAAGGTAAGCCCTTTACTACAAACTTTATCATACTCTTGCTCAGTAAATCAAAGTAATAATAGCTTGCATATTTGTATCAGCACTTAGGCCAGAGAGGAGAAAATTGTGACTATAAGAGAAGCGTTGAGAAGAAAAGGGGGACAAATAAGGATGCCTGAGATCCCAACCTTGACTGCAAGATGACCTGGTCCAAGAATCATTTCTATAGGATTTGGGCAGAGCCAGTAATAAGGAGAGACGTACTTCCATTATGAACTTCTACCTCCCACATAAAGGTATAAAGCTGGGGGTTTGGTATGAACCTAGCTAAATCTACTCCCAGAGCAAGAGGCCTGACCTTCACAATGTTTTGTCATTTGGTGACTCCATTTCTTACACTGAGTCTTTTTCTTGTACATTGCATTACAAACTGAGGATGCCTCCAGAATGCCCTGGTACAGTTCCCAGATAGACCCCACCCTTCTTGCTGGTATTTTCTGGTCATGGACTTAGAGAAAAATAACTTCAATGATTTGAACCTGCTTTATCTAGAAAGCTCACATTCTCTATACTTTATCATGTGGCTTCTCCAAAGAGTCTGGATCCCTAAAATTTGATCTTCCTTGACTATAATTTTTACTCTGGACAATGGACTTTAGTTGCCAGTGCTGCAACTAAAAATGGAGAAACAGGAAGTTCTGAAAATACTCAGTTCCCTGCCTAAATGGAAACATAGCTTGGGTACTGCAGTGATTAAAAAAAAAAATCATGGCTTGTCTTAAAGAAGAGTCCTTAGAAATCATCTTTCCAGTGTTCACAGATTTAGCTATATTCAGAATGGATTAAATATATTCAGAATGTATCTAGGAAATACTACAGTATACATGCATGGATGTACAAGAATGGTTGCATTCTGCCTGGAAAACTGGGATAAAATGTCTTTCCAACTTCCTATCCCTGGAAGACATCCATGTATCATGTTAAAATCTCTCATGATATACATGTATTCTAAGCTATCACTCTGAGAATTCTTGTATTAGTCCAAAGTTTCAAGTCAAAGTTGGGGATGTTGAACCTACTGAGGGTGAAGCAATCTAGTGGCAGTGGTATTGGAACCACGGATCCTATTCTTAATTTAAAATATCTTATGGCTCATTGCTTCTCTTTCATTAGATTATTCCTGCTCTATTTCAGTATGCGCCTCTCTGAGATCTAGGCTTACACTATTTTATATAGTACCCACTAGTTCTGTGTGACTATTTAAAATAATGAAGATAAATCAAATAAAAAATGTAATGCTTTATTCTCACTGGACTTATTGCCACTGTTTAAAAACCACATGTAGTCAGTGACTGCTAAACAAAACAGCACAGACATAGAAGGTTTCTATTATCTCAGAGATTCCTGTTGACTAGTGCAATGAATATGGCCCGCTCTCTGGGGCAGCCATCCTATGCTATTTGCCATATTATACTAAAGGTATTGATAAAGAAGGAAAGAATCCAAAATGAATGACACATAGAAGAATCCACTGGCTTTTATTCAGAAGGTACAGGGACAAAGAGAGCAGTTGGTGGTGTTACTATCAGTGAGATTTAGTCTGTCACCATTATCTGTACCGTGACTCAAATCACTGAGGTGATGGCTTGTGGACCTAAACAGATTAATTTAAGCCAGATCAATATGCACAGAGACTGTGAGGAAGATCCATCAAATGAAATTATTCCCGTTTCTTTGAACTGTGCCCATCAGAACTTGGCTGGCACTTTCCTATTGTCATCCAGACCTATACAGCATCTGCTTGAAGAAGAGTCCACATTCCCATTTTCCTCGAGGACCCTGGTAACGTGCTGTTCGTGTGACCATAGTGGCTTAAGCTGCATCAGGTGTTCTGAGCTAGCTGCATGAAGAGGGTTGCTGCACTAAGCATAATTGAAATAGGATGCCATTCATTCTGTGTGTGTGTGTGGGGGGGTTCCTCTGCAGCAGAGGCCAGCATGTTGCTAGACGACTTCGAATCCTAGACAACAAAGCTTGCTAGTCTCAGCTGTTACACAATGCCCAAGGCCTTATTTTCTTCCATGAAGGCCACCCCCATGCTCCTCCTATCCCCTCCCCCCCGCACCTGAGCCCCAGAGTCAATGATAACTGTTTCTATAAGATACACGCAAACTAACTGCTATGTCAAAGCAGACGTCTACTTAAACTGATGGGAAAACAGAGAAAGGGAGCAGCGAAAGTGGATAGTTCTAATGATACATGAACTGCTTTATGTCTCATCACTGTTTTTAGACTTAGGTTAAAGTAGTAGCAAGAAAGGATCCTCACAAGGTCTGGCCTTGCTCCTCCCACCTACTGTTCAGAAGCCTGGCAAGCCTGGATCCTGGACAGTGGAGCTTTGTGGAAACTCCCTCGACAGCACCAAAGAAAGCATTGTCAAAACAAGTTTCATGGTGTGCTCCTAAGGAGACCTACATGAGCTTAATCTGTAACTTGTCTAGCCTCAGTGACCTTTTGGGATTTTTCTGGATTAATTCTTTGTTTTCTAGGGCTATATACCTTTTGACAATCAGGCAGTGGAGAGGTGTAGGTGATGTTTGTAAAGTCTTTGAAACTTTGAATTACTGTGCCCAACGTCAAGGATGCCTCTCTTCCCTATACTTAATTCTGGAATTTGGAATATCGAAGAATTATCTTCTCTGAGAGCCTAATTTCTAGGAGGGCCTCCAAGATTTTGAGTTCTGCAAATATTTGCATCTTTGTTCAGTTATGCAGTCAAGTAGAACTGTAGCTGCTGTTGAAAGAACTGAGCAAAGTCTCTGTTCAGTTGAATGGTATGGGCTTGGTTGCATCCGGCAAGCTTTTTAAAATACTGACATCTTTCCATTAA